TGGCGTGGGTGGGGTCTGGAGCTGGGGAGGATGTGGGCAGCCGGTGGGAGCCTTCGGTGGGTCACCATCATCGAGGGGTTATCAGTCATTTAGCGTAAATGAGTAAGTTTTAATTAAGAATAAATTACATAGGGTGACAACGCGGTGTGATTTGTGCTGTTTGCTTAGCTTCGCTTAGCGGGAGTAGGTAGATTTGCGGACGCCTTCGGGCCACCATCGGGTTATTTTTCTTAGCAATTTTCCTCGCAGCTGGTACGGCGCCGCGTCGAGTCTTTTAGCACGGGGGAGCGTTTTGATGTGGCGCTGATGTTTCGGGAGCGTTTTTCCACCCCCCAAGTCTGGGACCACCTTCCGTTCCCTGCGTTCTGCCAAGCGAGCGCAGGCGCAGGAGGAGGGTAAAGCAGAAGATACGGAGGCTCCAACCCTCGGCTGAAACCACAAATCGACAAGATTTAGAGCCAGGCTGCCCAGGGAAAAAGAATCCAAGAAGGTGTCAGAAGACCAAAAATCACCGCTGGACTAAAAGGCGGGTGTAGAGATCGCAAGGGTGTCACTGCCCAGGGATTGCTTTGCTCAGGGTCCCTCTCGTCGGAGGCACCCAGCCCGGGCTGTCCGTGCTGCTGCGCCTTCTAATTAAATTAATTATTTTAGGCAATCCGACGCCTGAGACTCTGCTGCGGGGAAACCGAGGGTCGGGCCTGAAGGAGGAGTGAGCGTGTGCGTGTGCGACACCGCGAACGCTTGGGGCAGCGGCTTCGGCTTTAGCGGTCGTGGTGGCCGGCGCAGGACGGGGAGGTTTTGGGGGTGGCGGGCTTGGCAGCGGGGGAAAGCTCTTTGCAGCCGAACCCCCCCCCGCGCCTTCCAGGTGGCGGAATGAAATGAATGGAAAATAAAAGCTCTTTGGAAATTGTTGAAATATATCTATGGGGAAATGGAGGGGGGAGGGATCAGCTTGGCCACGCACCAGGGCACAGCGAGTGGGAATGAAAGGAGAAGAGGGGAGTGAAGAGGAGGAGGAGGAGGAGGAAGCAGGGGGCTGTTTTGTCTGGCGATGACCTTGTTATCTCTCTCAGCAGGCAGCTGCTCCTCCGGGCCGGAGCCTCGCGCTTATCTGCCCTGCCGCAGATTGATTCACTTCACTTCGCCGCTGCTGCGTAGTCAAATATTAATTTCCGATTTTTTTTTAAAAAAAAAAAAATAATTATTTTTTTGTGGGTTTGGGGCTGGGAAAGCTTTGGGCTCCCTCCCACCCAGCCATCGCTGCTCCCAGCCTCCTCGCTCCGGCGCAGACGCCATTCTGGTTCAACCCTCCACCCCTCATGCGAGGGCAGCACCCAAATGTATTAAAAATCACGCTGATAAATAAAACCCTCTGTAAACACCCAGATCGGAGCCCAAAATCTTTCACGGCCGTGCAGCTGAGAACTACCAGCCCTTTACCAAGCTCACCCCGCCACTGCCGTCACACGTCGCTCCCAGCAAGGAGAGGAAGAGGGGGAAAAAAAACCCACAAACCACACCAAAAAGATCATTCATTTCACTTTATTATATTAATGTGGAAAATGATTTTTAATTGATTTTATACGCAGGCAATTTCCAATCCTGGAGGCAAGAGGAGCCTGGGGATTTTGGGCTCCTCGCTTTGTTGGCTGTGGACCAAGGCTTTCCTGCATGAGAAAATGGTTAAAAATAATGACTGTAACCCAAAACACAAAGCATTTAAAATGGCACCGTAACATCCTAGCTCCACAGGGTCCTTGAGGGGACAGAGCGAGCAGAATTACCACGATGGTCTTGTGCTGCATGGCTGAGGGACAGCCCCAGGAACAGTTTTGGGGGTTAATTTTGTGCGGCCAGTGGCGTCCCCAGGGCTGGTGGCGGGGTCCTGAAGGCCCCTGGAGCCATGGAGGCTGAGGGCAGAGGTTTGGGGACAAGGGGGTGACAGGCGCCAGGGCTGGCGGTGGGGCAGAGCCACAGAAAAGGCCCCCCAAAGAGCTGCTGGATGCTGCAGCCAGAGCCAAGCTGGCTCCCATCTTCCCCTCACACACTGGGCAAACACCGGCCGATTTTCCATTTGCCAAAGCTGGTGGCAAACAGCGACCAGGGAGAGCGA